CTTATATTGTGAAACTTGAAAATTGTTTATGTCAACTTATAAGAACCATGGACCTGAATTCTTTTAGAATTATTGTTATCTAGATGTTACCTCTATATGCCCAAAGTATGGGCCCTAAATCGATTAACCACCTCGAGTACCTCCCTCGTTAATATCTTTGATAAAAGAAAAAAATATTCATAAAAACTAAGAGCTTTTTCGTTGATAAGCACAATAATTAGACAAGGTATTGAGAGCAACATCTTTATGTGACATACTTGTTGAATTTAGTATGGACAACAACAAGAAATATGAGTTATGCACGAGACTCTCACACAGTATTCATTTTAGCAAATGGAACAGTGTTAGTTACAGGTGGATCTGGGAATGGTGGTAACTTGAACAGTGCTGAGTTATATCCCAGGTCAACAAAGCCGATGGTGGGTCCGATCGGATTCCTGGAAATCGAATTGCATTGGAATCCGACTAGAAAATCCCGTCGGTTGTTGCAAATTTTATGAGCGATCTTTTTAGCTATGTTCTATGATGACCCTTAGAAAATCCAGGAAATCCATGTTTCGGATCTGACGAGATCCGACATGGGATCCGATGGGATCTGAGTATGGAACTGTTCGACCTGGGTATTCGGGAAAAGCAAGAACATTCTTTTCTTCATCACGTAGAAGAGCTTCTCTTTCATGATTGTCAGTACAACCAAACCATTTTGAAAGCATAACTTTGCCCCAACTTAACGGACCAATCGTCATCAGACACGTTTGTTCCACCTCACTGCTTAGCTGGTAAGGCTCTTTTAATCCATATAATAATGCATTTGATTCATTAGTTTCAAGTGAATGAGGATTTGGTAAATGTAATTGCGGATCATTATCTTCGAGCACGTCACATAAGTCTTGTAAATATCGATAGATGTCATCGATTTGATTTCGGATTTGTTGAATTTTTCGACTATAAAAAAGTTAGCTTTCATCTAATTAATCGAAATCAACCTACTCATCTCGAATAGTTTCCACTTTAAGTACTTGGAATATATGATTCCGTTCTTCTTTAGCTGAATCTTTTTTCAATTGTGTGTTTATTGATCGAAGCTCAGGATTTTTTGCTTCGGGAGCTAAAAAATACTTGTTTTGTGTCAAGACATGTTCTCATAAGGCCAGATAAAGTATTGAAGCATGTCTGGCACACTTTCTCACCGGTTTTCATTGTTACAGATGTCCATTCCGAATTTAGCATAATGTGAGTGTTGAATAATTTTGCATCACGTTCATCGATTATTCTTCGACCGACAGGACGTGATGACTTCGAGCCAGATCGCGTTAGGCCGACATGAGATGGATGAGGACACCATTCTTTCTTGTGATACGGCATGTTGACAAATCTAGTAGAACTTAGTTTAACCCAAGAATACGTTCCAGTGAAAATCACCAACATAATGACTCATCTATCCATAGATTAACTAGTGAGATTTGAATTCCACATACAATAGATCTGCGATTTGCTGGTCCTTAGAATCCAATCAGTGTGCATTGCGGCGCGATCATTGAATCACATACATGTGAAATACAAGAGCAGCATGAAACCTATCTTAGTATTTCCCTAAGTATGTTTCAAAAGTCATCAGTTACATATTCTTATGCATATGACCCTTTCATATCACATTCAATTGTAAAAGAAAGTATTTCAAAGCTATCTCATCATAAAACTCGTACATTTTTTTCGCTTAATATAGTGTATAATCTTGTATCACGTTTATCTCAGCCATTTCGACTTTAAATAGGAAACCAAAATAGGGTTTTGCGGAGTCAAGCCTGCTCTACGAGAAGCGTTGGGGCTGCTCCTTCCTGAATGTAGTCATTTTTCACAGTACTAGTAAACTAGTAACCTAATAGTAAAAGTGGAAGCCGACAATTTTTAACAGTCTATCTTGTAGAGCTCTTCGAGCTAATCATTTTGATAGAAAAGTTTTTGACGGTATTTTGGCTATGAAACAGGTAAAAATTGACCGGTAAGGAAAATTTTTTTACTAAAATGATCACCATTAAATGCTCTATAAAACCATGTATGAAAAAAAATTTCAGAATCTTGTGTTTTCTGTGGTTGACTTCCCATGGAACGATCCATGAACTAAATCATCTTATGCATTCGGGGTCAAATGAAATATCATTCGAATTCATTGCATGTTGTCTCATTTACTTACATATATATACCCACCATAGAAATTCTCAAGTTTTTCTATTAAAAATCACTTTCACCCGCAAAACGTGTTTCTACGCTTATTTGATGTAACTAACGATGCAACAAACCTTTTTTAAAACTTATTTCAAAATATATCTACAAGTATGTCACAAAGACTCATGGAAAAAGTAATTATAAAATATTTCGTTACGTATTCAAAACAAATGCGAAATAGTTATGGATATATAAACGGTTTCATCTCATAAACAACTTACTCATGTGTGACAATATATCAACAATAAATGTATCGATACTTTCTTGGTATACAAGAAATGAAAAAAATATACATCTACACAACTTTTCAACTAAGTGTGAACTGTTTTCACATAATTGCTGCAGCTTACCAATATATAACGCGAGCTTGCAACGCAATCCCACATGAGATTAGAAATTCGAAACACAATAAAACTGAAACACCTGCGATACCTTGATTAATACTTTTTTCGTTTGAAATTAGTACAAATATAAGGATGAGGAAGGAGGCGATAAATAGGGGACACGGTATTGTTACGTAATCTATGTTTTCCCTTTGAGCACAGCTATGGTGGTCATACTAATTTACCGTGCATCTATCACCCTCTGTGGGGAGAAGTGTGTGTACATTTTAGCCATTAAACACTTTAACACTCTTCTTCCAGATCATGCTGGACGAATACATTTTCTTCCGTGTAATTTTTACTCTACATAAAAAAATCATTTTGTGTTATGTTACTGCTTTATATCTAAAGAGCTGACATTCATCGATTTTTGTTTACACTCCCTTTTGATAATTAAAAGAATGTGACATCATTAAGAATATATGCATAAAATAAACGAACAAATAATGAAATGCGCATATATGTGCACTCACTCACGCTTTGATTGATCGTCAAATCTTTTTTCAATTTACCAACTTTTGCTAGATAGATGAAAACAAAATAACTTTTTTTGTATAGTATTCAAAATTTCATTTCATTTCTATGACAGACTGCAATACTTAGTTGCTTATTCCTTTTTAGTATAAATAGTGCGTATTTTTATACTTTCTCATCAGAGTTCCGCGGATACGGGATAAATCCTGTCCTGAGACGAGATGAGACGATGAAATTGAAGCTATAAGCAGGACAGGACCAACAGCTCCATTTTAGTGTCCCGTAACATATACAAATTGAGGATACGTGAATGGATGAGTAGTATTGAAGGTAACTCCTATAGACGCCCAAATTTGAGTCTCTAATTCCTGACTAGACTCTGCTCGACCCCGATAATTTTCGATCTCGATAGTTTGAAACGAAGTCCGATGTCCTTGGACGTTGAGGTTTTAGGTGCCATGACTTAAAATTGGCAAAGTTAATTTTGAACAAAAACGATACTTTTCTGATCAATTTCACCTGGATTAAACTCACTAAAGACTGTTTGAGTTCCACGACGAACGAGCACAGGACTCTCTATTTCGATTGGCACATCTTTAATTATTTCTTATTCGAACGAAAAGTGCTTCTTATGGACCAGTCAACATTTTACTATAACAAAAACTTTTTTGACACTGTTAGCTCACTACACTTACGGAGGCTCGACTTCATCTTCACGAACATTCAGAGATACGAAGGTCCACAAACTGCAAAACTTGTTCTCTCCCGTTTCCTGGCCATTTTAAGGCCAGTCCAGCTGAAAATCTTTTAGTTGGTACTTAACTGAGTTAGAAAGTATGCTTCTTTCGTTTTGAAAAATTTCTAATATTTTCGGCAGGAAATTCAAAATACTGAAAACCTCCGGAAACCGCAACGCTTTTGGCATACTAAAAGTTTATCAAAGTCCACCAAATTTTATTAGTACAAGTCACAGTAAAATTCTTTATCAGTTTTTGGAAGAAAAACGAAGTTTTCCCGTATTTTTCATCTAGAAAAAGTTGCTTTTGTTTTTTTTTGCAAATAGGTTTGGCATATAGAGAGTAGCAATATCTATAGGTAGTCGTTAAAATATCGAAAACTTTTTCAGAAATAGAAGGCAGCCTCATTAAGTGTTAAAATAAATGATTCCGACTGAAGCAGACAATAGAAAATGAAGCGGGCTGGGACGAGTTTATGGTTGCCCCGCGTCGCGCTGTTCCTCATTATCAACAATTAATTCTGTTTTAGTTTATCGAAAACGTCTCATTAACATTCAACTACAAGAACAAAATTATGAATTCTGATGAACCAAAAAAACCTCGTATGAAAAATGTTCGCATACAAACTATGGAAACGGCTATTCCATTGGATGATGAAGTGAGAAAATATCAACGACCATCACCTGCCAATAGAAATGTTCGTACACAAACTAAATTAATGTTCGATGAATTTAATAATGAAATAATATCCCATGATCGACATCAACGAAAGGCACCACTTCAAATTCTCAATGATTCATCAGCCATGCCCAGCAGAATATATAAAACATTTGACGATCAAAGCGAATTTATGGAAAATGAAATTATCGCAACATCAACTCCACCCATGAATGGAGATCAGCAAATTGAGACAACTGTTAATATTGCAAATGAAAATGAATTACCATCAGATCCTATTATTGAATATGCGAACGAACTAATCTTACCACTTGCTGAAGCATGNAAACATATAAAGTTGGCCAATATCCAGTATATATAACAGCAAATTATTTCAATAAGGATAATTATTTAGATTTAGCTGTTATTAATCAAAATGATAATACGATTACGCTTTTATTTGGTAAAGGAGATGGAACATTTTTTACTTCAGCAAATTATACCGTTGATAATAGTCCGTCTTCTATTATATCATATGATTTAAATAATGATACATATGTCGATTTAGCAGTAACAAATTATGTTGAAAATACTGTAAACATTTACCTTGGTAATGGCGATGGAACTTTTGAAGAAATTAAAAGTCTTTCAACTGGTGTTGATCCCACTTTCATATTAGCAGGTGATCTTGATGGTGATGAACGTTTAGATTTAGTTATTACAGATGCACTTGCTAATACTATATCTATTTTGTTAAATACATGTAAAATTTAATTAACAAAAAGTTAGTCCATAAAAAAATACAAACAATTCAACTATTTTTTTGTCATAATATTTTTTAATACTTTTCTCATATATTTTATATGTAAAATCTTTTACTCTCTCTAGTTACTTTAATCTACTAAAATGAGTACAATTTATTTTTCATAATTCTATTGGGTTTTTATTGAAAATATTTGAAAGAAAGAAAATTACATCTACTGTCAAATTATAAAATATGCTGGCCAATCAATTTTGATAGAAAATGACAATAGGATTCAGAGAAATGAGTAGAAAGATATTTGTTTTGAAGAAAATCTAAGGTATGGACTAAAACAGAGTTCAAACTATTTGTGAAGCTTAGGCATATTCTGTCTGAAATTTGGTAAGATAAGGTGAGCAAACATAAAATCTTTCAAAACATCAGCAGACACCATGATTTCAAGCTTTAGGAGTCTGCGAAAGTTGACAGCAGATCATGAGATTTCATTATAGTAATTTCGGGTACTCGTGTTTCATAACTCTTGTGTAAAAACTATATGAATATTTGAAATAAATTGGAGCGTTTACTTATGGAGTACAGAAAACTTTCATTTTGAGAATTCTTTCCATATTTATGAAAAATCTGTGTTTCATAATATGACAAACTACTTGCAATTCCGTTTCCAGAAATCCGATCGGATTTGTTGACCTGGGTAACTTTCTATGACCGAATCAGTTTTTACTGAGTGATACTTAAGAAAAACAAAATTCCGTGAAATACGCTAGATGGTTTATATAACCCCTCCATTTTCAAATAGCTAAATATGTTAAGCATACCGTTAATATTAAACATATTTGCGTTTAAAACGCAATAGTATATCATGTTAGAGATCGTGCAGACTATATCGCATATTTTATTTAAGCCAAAAGCCGTCTATTTATAGGATGACCAAACGAACATACAAATACAAAAAGCGATAGACATCACAAAAACAAAGAAAGTGTAAATATACAGAGATACAGAATACATACACATAGTGTACGAGATTTATGGTAATACAATGAAAATGGAAAGAACGGATAAATCGAACTGGATATACAGTACCTAGAAAAAAAAAACTAGAACTCTGAAAAATTTTAAGGAAATAACCTGTATAACGAAATATTTGTGCTAATTTTTAGAAAATGTTTTAGCTATAATTTTTTCTTGTAGTAGTCATAGTCGCTAATTGTTTCATACTCGACACGTGTATACTTCACTTAACAAATCCACATCATTTTCACTAAAAATTTCAGGGCACACCTCAGAATCTTTCCTTGTGAGAGTCTTTCATTGACTCACAACGTCATCCTCAACGATAAAATAGGCAACAATGTTTTCTACCTATACGAAGTGTGTAACAATGATAATGGTAGTTCATCAGATTCGCAAATACTTTTTATAGCAAATAAAAGAGCTTTGAAATCATACAGCCTATATAAATTCTAAAGCAAATTAAGATCAAGACTTTTGTTTATCTTTCATAGAAACTAACTTTCTATAAGTTAATAACTTATCATTTTCGTTCCTTTGCTTATCTATGACCCATACAGAAGTATTGAACGATTGCAAATGTGCGTCAATCGAATCGAAAACAAGTTTGGTCCACAGTTGAACGGCTTGTTCAGATCCATTTGGACTTTCACAGTATTTCCACAACAGATCGACAAAGTAATTTTGTGTACGGAATAGCGAAAGGATGTCGTTCGCAATTGGTTCGGCTTCTGTCATATCTATGAATATAGCTGCGCCTTTGGATAATAATGCNTGTGTTCGATTTATAAGTATATGAAAAACAAGACACATACTACAGATCATACTATTCTTGCTATATTAATCTTTGGTTTACCTATTCAATTTATTGATATCAATTTCTATCTTGCTTTCTATCATAATGGTATTGTACAGCCATCTACACATAGTATTTGTCTTTTATGGTGGTTTACTGATTTGTGCTTTTATACTGGAGGTATTATTTTGATGGCTTGGTTAGCTATTGAGCGACACATTATAATATTTCATGATCGTTGGCTTTCAACTAGGAGCGGACGGCTTTTATTTCATTATCTGCCACTAATTATTCTGGTAACGTATAGCTTACTGTTTTATATCATCGTTATTTTCTTTCCACCGTGTGAAGATACTTATGATTACACATTACCAGTGTGTAATGCCTCACCATGCTATCAATCGTATGGTATTTTTACAATGTGGGAATTGATTGTCAATGGCAGCATACCAATTTTCTTAGAAGGTATAGCTAGTGTAGGTCTTATTATTCGTGTACAAGTACAAAGACGGCGTCTTTATCAATCAGCTCAATGGGGCAAACAACGACGAATGATTATTCAGCTATTTTTGGTATCCGGTTTAAATATGAGTTTCAATCTACCAATTTATTTTATACCCATCCTTCGTCTCTGTGGTTTACCACCAGACTTTGGCTTACAAGCTGAACTTTATTTCTTTTTTCTTGGTTATTTTGTTATTTTTCTCTTTCCATTCGCGTCCCTATGTCAATATCCACAGCTTCGCAAAGTAATTAAAACGAGAATCTTTCAATTCATGCCAAGACAAGCGCGTCATACAACAATAGTTATACCTTTAGCAATGAAAGCTACACCAATGAATAAACCAGCTTGAACTAATTCAATAAAAACGTTTTATTTACATTTGAATTGATGTTATTTTGTTTCGTTTTGAAATAAGCATCAGAGTGACATAGTGTCATCCTTACATCGATAAAAGATAGATATGTTTTACAACGGACAACAACAAGTAGCACTCGTTGTTTCAAAGTATTTTCTATTATATTCATTTCCGCGTGAAATTATGTTTTAGTATACACACGCATCATTTTTTTGCTGAAAATATAGCATCCCATGCCCGCAGCTTTGACCTGTGTCATCATCATCCTCTCCTGATGGTCATCTCTTTCGACGCTTCGAATAAAACATTGATTGAATTTTTGTACAGACATTTAGATGGTTCTAATAATTATAACACATTCCAAAAAAACAAAACCTTAAATATTAGTGAAATGTTCATTTGTTGAGTGACAAATTATTTGTTATTCCTATCGTTAATGATCACCGATGAGGACTTGGATCATATAGTTTTGGTAATTGGGATGTGAATCTCTGATAGAAAAAAATGTCGAACGATCAAGTTTAGAGTTTCGATATGAAAGAGATAAGACTGAGTAGAATAAACAGGTTAAGTTCGGAAAATAAAGCATGACTGAAAACGCACTTTCAATGATTTCTGAATGAAGAGAAGTTTTTCATTTCAGATGTGTATAATACGGGTTAATGATTTCAATAGGTCGATTATTTCCATTTTTATTAAATCTTCCAATATGACTTTCACATGATCAACAATCGATTGAGAGTTTGTATGTTTGTCGAGTTTCTAAAAATGATCCTCGAACAATTACATATTCAATTTTAACAATTTGCTACATAAACAAAGTTTAGATGAAAATCTTTAATAAATTTCACGATCTCAACATCGAGATATTCTCACCATTATTCTAATAGATATTTATGATAGTCCATCTAGTATATAGTATTAATAATTTTAGCTTGCACCAATGAACTTGTTTTTCTCGTGTTCTTGTGTTAAGTATGTCAACATGTATTTTAGCATTAAGTTTAGCATTGCGTTATATAACACGATAAATTAATCATCAATTTCAATATTACC